TACGAAATCTCGGTTTCGCTAATTAAAATCACTTATAGATTAAAACATTAAATATTAAAAACAATATAAAATAGCATTTGTTTGATAAAAACGTAGTCATCGCTAAGGTCTCGCAAACGCTTATCTATTAACTACCTGTGCTTTCGGCATAGGGATGTATACCACATAATCAGCGTATTAATCATAAAACTATTTCTCAATAACTAACAAAAGAAATTAATCACAATTTAGTGCTAAAAATGCTGGCAATAAATACTCACTAAAAATCCGGCAAAATGTCAAAAAAAAGTATTGAACTCAATGTCAATGTTTGGCACAAAATTTGTGGCAAAGTATCAGAAAATATACTCAAAATTCGTGAATAAAAATCATTATAACAGACAAACAATTGATGAAAAGATTAAAAAATTATACAATCGTTGGCAACACTTTTGTAGTCACTAGTGATTAACAAAAACATTATAAAAACGCAATTAATTTACTCACACTTTAAATATTCATGTAATGTGTCGACGGGAAAGGGTGGTTAGGGGCGGGTTATGCGAGTGATATAATTAACAAAACAATTTCATAACAATGAAAACATAAAAATGAAAAACCAATCAATCGATAAAATGATAACTAAATGTCGTAAACAAATTGAAAAAACCTAAACACTTGATAATAACCTTAAACTTAAAACTAAAGTAAAAAAATATATAAAAATTAAAATCAAATTAAACTAAAAACTCTTACCAATGATTACAATCAATATAATGATAGCGATGGCCACTAATATCAAAATCATCTATAAATTCATGCCATATATCGAGTGCATGGGAATGGATGGGTCGGTGAGTGTGTGTGTTGTTTGGTTTGAGGGTCGGGGTCGTAGGGGAACGGGAGAGAAAAGTAGACATTAGATTCAATGTTTAAATTGACACTTACTTCCGATTATTAAAATTAAGATAACAATAATTGCGACCATAAGTGCGATCATCTAATGGTTAGCATTGTGTTGAATATAATATCATTTAAAACATTAAAATTAATGACAATTTATAGACAAAAATGGCATAAAACTAACCAAAAAATAAAACTACATATCATATCATATACGGTAATATAAAAAGTATGCCAAAATCAGTATTGAATTACAATAAGACAGTAAACGGTGTCAAACAATACATAATCATAACATTATATACAGTGCCGTAAAAATAAAACTATTAAATTATATCACCATTTATTTGATACACAAATATCTAATCGTAAATTAAACTCAAAAATCACGTAATTTTAGTCAACATTTATGCCTAAAAATTAAACTTTTCAAAAGTCTATTCAAAAACCAAAGCCAACCGCACGGGTGTGTGCGCTGAATGATAATCAATAGGGGAATGGCATCTAAGCGCTAACAACTGAAACCAGGGGCCATCGGGGCACTGGACTGGCCATCGGGGTGGCCAGGGAGGGGACATACCTTCAGATTTTTCCACCAGAACTTGCGCTTAAGTTTGCCGGCCTGTTGTTCAAACTGTGAGGCGCCGTGTTGTAGGGCATCGGCCCTGTCGTCCAACTCAGACAACTTGTTATCCCTTTACCATACATCCCGGGTCCATCTAGTTTTAGACAGATTGTAGCGATTGATTGTGTATCAAATTGCTGTTTCATTTATGTATTAACTTATTATACTATTTATTTATTAATTATTACTAATTTATTCAATGATAATTAAAATCACAACTAAATCATATTACAATATAAGTTAATTCAAAGCAAATTATATTTATAAAATGAACACACAGTTTTTAATAATATATTTAAATTTTATTTCAAATCTATTAAACCGATTAACAGGTTTACAGAATAAAATAATACAATAATTAATAAATAGGCTTTTATTACATTTTGTTGTATATTTCATATATATATATAATAGCAATATTAATCCAAATACAAGTAGTTTTTATGTTTGAATTAATCACAAATAAAACATTAAAAATATTATTGTTGTTTCGGAAACAAATTGTATGCAATTATATCTGAATTTATATTAATTGACAAACAATTGTCTTTGTCTTTGGATTGTATTTAAACTCATTTCTTATATCATAATAATTAGTCTAATAATCAAATTACAAACAAACAAATATTCATTTAATACAAACACATATTTGTGACATAAGTGTATTTATATAATAATAATTAAATCAAGTCTCATATAATATAGTAAAGCAAATAACATAATCAATTAGGGATTAAAAAGTGGGATTAAAATAATACAATTTCATTGAAATATATTTTAAACGCTCGGAATATTAACACAAAAAAATTGGTCCAAAAATTGTATTTAAATTTGTTGTTTACGAGTTTTTTTTATACAATTATATCTCAAATCTAAGTCTACGGATATATTATCACTTTTGGGGACAGTTTTGGATCACAACACAAGACATTTGTTTTTTATGTTTATTTTTGTTTTTGTTATTAATTTATGAAAACTTTTCAAAACAAATGTGTAAAAAATAATTTAACATAAATTTTAGATACGATTCTTAATAATCATAATAATCATACATAAGAAAATATATAATAATAATAATTATAATTGAAATTCCGGTACTTTTACAAAGAGTAGTAATAATAAAAAATAAAAACTTTTATATTTATTGTCAAATTGTGTGGACACAAACCAAAAGTACACCACTTTTCTATGCATAAATGGCGCAAACTGTGTTCAAATCAAAAAACAAAATATTAAAATCATGTCATAAATTAAAAAATTAAAATTTTAATATTTATTACGATTAATAAGAAATTCATTCAAAAGTTAACAACTAATTAGATATTCATGCAAATCATGCAATTGTAGTAAATTAATTAAGTAATTAGAAATTCATTCAAAAAATTAGTTTAAATTATTAAATACTATATTAACGTCAATCCAAACACAAATAGAAATCAAACATTAGATATAAAAAGAGACTTCAAATCCCATACAAAGACATTCACATAACAGACAACACGAGTAGTCTTAAGGAACGACATCACAGGCAATGTTAGTATCAATTCAATGGACACATGGATTAGGGATTAGAAACAGTTGTAAATAGCATTCCGTTAGCAATGGATTAAAGCGTTTCCCAAAAGAATCAGTAGTTTTTTGTTACAATAGTATATAAAACATAAAAAACAACAAAAAACAAATAAAACAAAAAATAATACCACAAAAAGGGGATAAAATCATAGGATTTCTATGAGATTCACTACGAAGTGGCGGCCACTGGAAGAAAAAGGCGTAAAAAAGGCAAAAATATAATTAAATTACAATTCAATTAAACGGAAAGAAAAGTAAAGTATATATAAAAACAAAAACAAAACACTTTTTGATCCTTTCATTTGATAGTTTGAAGCAAACTTTGAATGAAAAAAATGTCTTTTTTCCCAATAAAAAAGGAAAAGATATGTTACGAGAAAAACGTGTTTAACATTTGGAGAGAATTATGTTTATCTCATATATTTTATGGCACATTGTTTTCAGAGTAAAACTTATTATATTTTTTTGTATTGTATTTATAATTATGTAAACATTTAGTGCAAAATATACTTAGATTTTTGGGAAGTTTTGTTGAGTTTTTGTTTTGGAGGGAAATACACAACATTTAAGGCTTTTTTGAGACAACTTTAGTGAACATTTAGTTATGATATAAAAACAATTCATATTTAAAACTAACACATATTTATATACTTATAACTATACATTACTTTTAAACAATTAATTGATTGGTTTTTCATTTGATTCACTAATAAATAGCTATTTCTATGCCTTTTTCAACAATTAATAAAAAGTATTTGTTATGCCTTTCAGTACTATTCAAAAAACGGATATTAATAATAATAACCAAAAAACAAAAATCGCTTTTTAAACAGATTTCTTTGATGTCAATATTAATCACTTGATTGTAAACCACATTATATTTAAATATATATTATTTTTTGATAAACATTTGTCAAAACAGATGAACAGTTTGTGTATAAACTCTAATATCAATACATTAATCGGAAAACCAGGCTTTGAATAGAAAAATAGAGACAATAATTAATATTAATTTCAATATTAAATACGAGTGCGAGTAAAGGGAACGGTATGTGTGAATTCAGTAAATTAATTGCATTTTTACACATAAATCAAAGCTACAAATAATTACTATAAAACTTGTTATAATTAATCAAAAAATACTAAATAATTGACAGAATATTTAATTCCCAATTCTGTGTGTAATATACAGTTCATGTGTACTACAAATTCATATATAAATAATATGTGTAAACAATTCCTTATAAAAACATTATTTATTCAAATCAATAGACTACCTGTGCTCCGGTGGGCGGGCACTGGTAACTAGTATTTACGAAATCTCGGTTTCGCTAATTAAAATCACTTATAGATTAAAACATTAAATATTAAAAACAATATAAAATAGCATTTGTTTGATAAAAACGTAGTCATCGCTAAGGTCTCGCAAACGCTTATCTACTGACTACCTGTGCTTTCGGCATAGGGATGTACAACACATAATCAGCGTATTAATCATAAAACTATTTCTCAATAACTAACAAAAGAAATTAATCACAATTTAGTGCTAAAAATGCTGGCAATAAATACTCACTAAAAATCCGGCAAAATGTCAAAAAAACTTATTGAACTCAATGTCAATGTTTGGCACAAAATTTGTGGCAAAGTATCAGAAAGTGTACTCAAAATTCGTGAATAAAAATCATTAAAACAGACAAACAATTGATTATAAGATTAAAAAATTACACAATCGTTGGCAACACTTTTGTAGTCACTAGTGATTAACAAAAACATTATAAAAACGCAATTAATTTACTCACACTTTAAATATTCATGTAATATGTCGACGGGAAAGGGTGGTTAGGGGCGGGTTATGCGAGTGATATAATTAACAAAACAATTTCATAGCAATGAAAACAATGAAAACATAAAAATGAAAAACCAATCAATCGATAAAATGATAACTAAATGTCGTAAACAAATTGAAAAAACCTAAACATTTGATAATAACCTTAAACTTAAAAGTAAAGTAAAAAAATATATAAAAATTAAAATCAAATTAAAACTAAAAACTCTTACCAATGATTACAATCAATATAATGATAGCGATGGCCACTAATATCAAAATCATCTATAAATTCATGCCATATATCGAGTGCATGGGAATGGATGGGTCGGTGAGTGTGTGT